GCTTACAAAGCCTAACTGTGATATAATAATGGTGCCAAGACTGGAACCACATGCAGATTACATTTACAGCTACTGCAAAATACACCCAGTGCTTTTGCTCGCACATTGGCATTATTAACTATCTACTCATGTGTTCTGCTGTGATTTGCAAGAAAATAAATCTGCCGCATGGTATTCAAAAGGCTTAGCAACAGTTGTCTTACAAAGAGTTTTATTTCTACTGCTACAGAGAGAAGAGACATTCTAATTACCTGGGTTATCATTTCTTTGTTCTTTGCTATCCCTCTTATCACTCAGTGAAGGTGAGAGGAAACCCTCACGTTATACTGACTAGCTGTGCAGGGTTTTAACCCGACGTGGTGTCAGTACCAGTAACATGAAGGCAAGAAGGAGACCAACATGGCCCCATTAGTGGGTGTGTGATTTTAATTCTCTCCTCTTTGCATGGAAAAACACATTCAGCTCCAAGCAAAGATAATTCTGGGGCTGAAGAAAACAGGAGAAACAATATTCTTGCTCATCCAATTGACCACAGGTACAAGAGTTACAAATTTAAGAACAGCATCAAGGGGAGATCACCCTGGCCTAAACTAAATATAAATATTTGCTTCTTTGTTCATGGCACACATTGTTCTGCCTGAGAAGAACTTATTGTTCTTCTCCAACAGGAGTGCACCTTTTCCTCTGAATGCCTTCCCTGGAGTGTCATGCCTTTTGGGTTTCTGAGCAGTGCTTGCAGGTTATGTTTTTAAGATGACAGCTATCAGAATTCTCCAGCTAGCATGGCCAGTGATGTGTGCTGATAGGGAAATTCTGGGAGCTTCAGCCTTGCTTTTATTGCTCTTCTTGTTTCAAAAGTATATTTTGTAACCCTTGTTGGTAAGCCCAAAAAAACTGAAGAAAAATACCATCAACACATAAATAAATAATAGGCACGTTGCTTAGCTAGCAAGGGGCAACAGCTCAGGGAGCGATCAGACAAGGGGAATGTGGTCTACTTTTGCCTCAGTGAGATCATACCTTAAATTTGCGGTCTGACGATGAATGGCCCTTACCGAATCATTTTCCTGACCAGTGTTGTAACTGGGGATCATTTCCCACTCACCCAAAGGCTTTTGTCATTTTTGTTCTGGAGGCGTTTCGAATTATTCCTTAATAGTATGGCATATGCGTATGAGCCTATTGATATTTTTTCAAAGTAAAGTCACTGTTGAAGGTGGCTGCCATAACTGCCGCGTGGCTGCCTGTGTAAATGTTATTTTAAAAATTTTTTGTGACCGAAGTGTCAATATATTGACAAACATGTTACCGGATTGAAAGCACCTACTGTCTGGGAAGCGTGTCGACCCTGGACAGGGGTACCTGCTCCATTGAGTGCAATGCATTGCTTCCAGAAACACTAGTGAAACAGAGGAAAATACACCCATCATGGAACAGTACCTGACATATCGATGTACCATTAATTTTTTAAAAATGAAAGTTAAGGGGCTGCAGTACCCCATAATCTAAGAAAGAAAATAAACAGGTAACAAAATGTAGCTGGCCATAACGATTCAAATGGAGGAAAAGGAACTGGTAATGTTAAATCACGTTGGGACACTCAAAAAATGTAGCTGGCCATAATGATTCAAATGGAAGGAAATAAAACATGTTGGGACACTCATCCAGGTATATATACTATGCAACCACAATGTACCACAACAAAAGTATGGAAAGTTTCATTGAAAGTGGGAGACATTTGCCTCGTGTGACCATGGCCTCAGCAGAGATGGTTGCATGAAGAAGCTTAAAGATAAATCCTTGGAATCCTCTACTTAAAAATATCTTCAATTTTTGTTGTTGTTATGTACCATCAAGTCACCTTTGACCCCTTGAATGGGTGACCTCAAAAAAAGCCAGTCTCTGTTCTTCCAAATGCAAGCCTGTGGCTTTCTTTATGGAGTCAGCATGTCTCGTATTGGTCTTCCCCTTAGCATCATTGTCTTTTCCAGCAAATCTTGTTTGATCATCTGCCCAAAGTATGACAGTCATGGTTTTCTCATTTTTGCATCTAAAGAGAGTTCAGGCTTGATTGATCTAGGAACCATTTATTTGTCTTTCTAATAATCCTGAAAAAAGCTCTCCCCCACCATCATATTTCAAATGAATCAACCTTTTTCCTGTTGGTTGTATCACTGTTCAGCTTTCACATAATATGGAAATAAAATAATGATGACAACCTTAGCTTTTGCTCTCCAGTGATACAGCTTACACTTGATAATCTTCAGCTCCTTCATAGCTGCCCTCCCAATTCTCAGTCTTCTTGGCTACAGTCTTCATTTGGTTTGATGACTGAACCTCGGTGTACAAAATCTTTAACAATTTCAATTTCTTCATTGTCAACATTAAAGTAATATAGCTCTTCTGCAGCTATGTCTTTTGACTTTGAATGTTTGATGTTCAACTGCAGTCCTGCTTTTGCACTTTCTTTTCTCCCCTTAATCAGGTCATTTTAAGTCATTGATTCTTTCTGCCAGTAATATGGTAGCATCTGCATATCTTAAATTATTTATGTGCCTTCCACTAATTTTCACTCTGTGTTCATCTGTATCCACATGAGATTTTTATTTGTCCCAATGAGTGAAAGGTGATCTGAGGCTATTCACGTCGTCGTTTCGTCGTGTCCGACTCTTCGTGACCCCATGGACCAGAGCACGCCAGGCCCTCCTATCTTCCACTGCCTCCTGGAGTTGGGTCAAATTCATGTTGGTTGCTTCGATGACATTGTCCAACCATCTCATCCTCTGTCATCCCCTTCTCCTCTTGCCATCACACTTTCCCAACATCAAGGTCTTTTCCAAGGAATCTTCTCATGAGATGGCCAAAGTACTGGAGCCTCAGCTTCAGGATCTGTCCTTCCAGTGAGCTCTCAGGGTTTATTTCCTTGAAAATGGATAGGTTTGTTCTCCTTGCAGTCCAGGGGACTCTCAAGAGCCTCCTCCAGCACCACAATTCAAAGGCATCGATTCTTCGGTGGTCAGCTTTCTTTATGGTCCAGCTCTCACTTTCATACATCACTACTGGAAAAACCATAGCTTTGACTATTCGGACTTTTGTTGGCTATTCACATGTGCAATTAATTGAAGATTTAGATCACAGCAGATAAAAAGAAATAAAATCCATGAAAGAAAGGCACAATATGTAAGAAATCAGAGGAAAGTCAACAAATTTCTAATACAATGGCCAGCGCTTGCTGGAGTTTTGCTATTACTATGGTCTTTGTGTCAGCAACACATTCTTTAATACGAAGCTTCAACACAGAGTTTCCTGGAGACATCCAAGATCGAAGCATTGGCATCAGCTCAATTTGATCCTCACTAGATGTTCTAACCTTCCTAGTATTACGATCACACACAGCTACCAGAGTGCTGATAGCAATACTGATCACTCCCTGGTGTGTAGTACAGTAAAACTGTGAACAAAGAGATTGTATCACAAAAAAATGGAAGAAAGGCTATGTATCGACATCAGCAAGACTTGTGATAAAAAAAGAGGATTACTTACCCGTAACCGTAGTTCTTTGAGTGGTCCTCTGTGAATTCACACATATGGGTAATCTTCCGAGATCGTCAGCACAGGCATGGACATTACCCATTCACAGAGGCCACTATGAAGAAGTGGAGGAATTTCCCCAAGTGCTTGAGGAAACCTTTCCAGGCCCGGCTGATGCAAATACACCTGAACGACAGGAACATTTCAAGAATGCTATTTATAACACCTCCTTGTCCACATTTGGCAAGAAGACCAAAAATATGGCAGACTGGTTTGAAGTGCATTTAGAGTTGATGCCAGCCATTGAGGATAAGAGGAGAGCTCTAGCAGCATACCAAGTCTGTCCTAGTGAGTACAAATTGCAAGCTCTTTGAACTGCTCATAGCAAAGTCCAATAGGCTGCCAGAAGATGCTCCAACTATTATTGGCTTCAGCTCTGCTCTCAGATACTGATAGCAGCAGACACAGGTAACATCAAGGGAATTTATGATGGTATCAAGCAGGCTTTAGGTCCAATACAGAAGAAATCTGCTCCCCTGAAGTCTGCTACAGATGAAATGCTGGATGCAGCACTACTCTGAGCTATATTCCAGAGAGAATGTAGTAACTGAAGAGGCATTAAATAACATTGAGTGCCTGCCTGTCTTGGAAAAGTTGGACAGTTGGTATCACCTGGCAGGACAAAGTTCCAAATAGAGTAGTCCTAGACTGAGCTGGAAGTTTTAGCAGGTATACATTACTGAAACAGCGATGTCTACATTGGCTTGGGCATGCTGTGAGAATGGCTGACAGTTGGATTCCAAAAGATCTCCTGTAAGGAGAACTAGTGCAGGGAAATTGCCCCAGAGGGAGACCACAGCTGCAATACAAGGATATCTGCAAGCAGGATCTGAAGGCCTTAGGAATGGACCTGAACAGATGGGAAACCTTGATATCTGAGCGTTCAGCCTGGAGGCAGGTGGTGCATCATGGCCTCTCCCAATCTGAAGAGACCCATGCCCAGCAGGCTGAGGCAGACAAGAAACCAGCAAAATCAGGCAGCTGGACTGAGGACAGATTGTATTTGTCTTCAGTGTGGAAGGGACTGTCACTCTCGAATTGGTCTCCTCAGCCACACTAGATGCTATTCCAAGCCCTCCATACAGAACACCTTACCATAGTCTCTTGAGACTGAAGGATGCCTAATCTAAATTCTTAACCACATTTTCAAAGGGGACTGAAAGATCATTTTGTGAGGAAAATTTGGGGACATCATCTGGTCAATATCTGTGTACAACTACAGACACAGTAATTAAAACAAACCTCCAAGACAAAAGAAATAATTGAATTATGTATATTGTTCAAAGTATTAGTTTACATCATTTAAGAGCAGTTGATGGCACATTCTTGTTTATTTCCAATGGCAAAGCTGCAAAAGTTGGATTGTTCCGCCTGCTGCCACTGATTGCATCACCACTATCTTTCCTGGCGGTTTTATTTATTCAATTTACTGGCACTTACAACACAATGTGCAGCTTTGGTTCAAGCGTTAGTTGAGATATAGCCATTTGTCTTCTTTGGCACCCTTACAAAAGGGTGTTAACATTATTAGTATTTTTGCTATTCTACACATTGGCTTTGCAATGAGAAGGAGGGAATCTCCATTTGTGTAACTTGTTATCAATTGGGGATTGTCTGTTCTGCCTTCCTAATTTTTCATGCATCTTTCTCTCTTTTTTTATCTATGTAATTATTGGCTCACAGGTACACCTGGGGGTATTGCTTTCATGAAGTTTAATATCTTGGTTGTACTAGATCACATTTAATTTTCATAATCTTTTAACAAACTAAATTCTTAATCAGAGAAAGGGGGCAGTTTTTATAACACAGAGAGGAGATAGGGTAATCCTCTGCTTTGCAATAAAAACCCAGAAGACTTAAAGAGATTGCATGTTAGTTCTTTCTTTAATAAAGTATGCCAGACATTCGTATAGAGGAAAGATACAAATTTTCACAACTAAAAATGAACATCCAGTCATCTATATGGTTATCAGTCACCATTCTGCAGTAACATGATGGACATTGCATGCAATAGACCTGAATTAGTCATATGGTACAGATGCAAGAACAACAAATGAGTCTGCAGTTGCTTGAGATTTGGAGTCCCACTTATTAATAGTAATCATCAGCCTTTTATACTGCATATTAATTTGATCAGATTATTATTATCCATGGACTATATTACAAGGTTGTCTTTAGAAGACAGAATGAACTGATAAAGTGGGAGGTCCCTTCCAGTAATCGTAATATAAGGCAATATGGGGTTATGATTTAGTGTGTTTAGTTTTATGTTTATTCAATCCCATATACTTCCAGCATTACCAAAGAAGTAGACTCCAGTATCTAGCTGGGATACGCTAAGACACAGTATCACCAAATGTGACTCATATAATTCAGATTTCTTCTTTCCATCAAGGAAATAGTAGACATATACTAAAATTATAGCAAAACGTTGGGAAAAAAAGCATGGTTTCAACAACAACAAAAATGCATTTCAGAATTGCAGTGCTTTATGGCACTAAAACAATTATGACAAGAAAAAAAAGATGATCCCTGAATCAGGAAGACAGCAACAACCAATCATAAAAGTAAAAAAATAAAAAATTACAAAACAGCAATCTTCTCCCTATAAAGTGAAAATTGATCTGTCACTCTCCAATTCCACTCTTATTTGGTTTTAAATGACAGTTTGTTCCAATGGACACTTTTCTCTGTGTCAAAACAGCAACAAATCTAAGCAGAGAGAAGTAAGGTTAGCCATGTTTAAAGGATCAAAAAATGAATCACCATCTGTTTAATCCTCTCTTATTGTCCTTGCAAATTCAAGGAAATTAAATAAACCTGCATGCTGAACATAAGGCTGAATTCTGAGGTGCTTTACAGAGGGAGTTTAAATGAGAAGGAATGCTAGGTTTAAGCTGGCACAGATGCCTTGCATAGCTACAATACATTTTATGTATTTCATCCAGATCAATAGTCATGTGGCTCTTCTCTGCCACCTCCCCCAGCTTTATATGCTGTTAAGCTCTTTACGTAAACTCTTAGTATTACCCAACACTTCCACAAGACAGAAGAACATATTCTTGTGAAGAATTAATCAAGAGTCTCTGGACACATAGCTGTGAACCAGCCACCATATTTTTGGCTTTCTGCCCAGGACATGTATGGATAGAGACCTAACAAAAATATATATTATACTAAAACATCAACTGAAATTCTTGGGTAGTCAAATCACTCCACAGACTTATTTGTTTTGATTTAAAATATAGCTGCTAATTTGCTATTCCCCACTTCCTCCAAAATCACCACCTCTGTTGCCCACAAAGTTGCTGGAATAATGCCCTCAACAGATGCACTGATGCTTTGGGGTTAGGTTGCAGTTTGATTTAGCATGACTCAGGCAGCAGATGGATGGCTAGAATTCTTAATGTGAGCTACAATTGCTATTCATTATTGTCCATATTTTCCTGCCCTAGCATTTATTGTGCCACTGCATTATCTGGTTCTGACTACACTGCGCTGATTGAATAAAATGAATGTACAATAGACAAATAGAGTCTATTACTCATAAATAAAGCACTGAAAACATATTTCACCAGTATCTTTCTGCAGAACTGGGGGAGGGGGTATAGTTTGTGTTGTTAATTCTAGTGACTTTCTTGTCATCATAACCAATGGTTCTAAAGATAAAGAAGTTAAACAACCTTTGTAAAACAAAACAAAAATGAACAAATGAACAATTCCATTCAAACTATTATAGCTAGCTATCTGAAAGATAAACTGCTAAATAGGCCACGATGAAATGAAAGATCCCACCTTGACCAGTGACTTAGTTTCACTAAGCCAAATTCATCTCTGGGATGTGGGAAATTAGTCAGTGAAAACTCGGGCAATGCTATACAGAGAGAGTTAGAAGGGAGTAAAGCCCACAACTGCAGCTTTTCCATAGAGGTATCACTTAGTTATTCTTAAATTGAAGATGCTGGATGGAGATTCAGGGCAAAAACCACCTCAAATTTTTAGACTCTAAAAGCTATAAAGGAATATAAGCACTACTCCATTAGCATGATTTACTGTGTGTTAGTTCTGGACACTGACCAATAAATTCTCCTTGGTTTCTCCTCTTATCGCAGTCACAGAACAAGCTGGTTCCAAAAATATTTTAGCCTACTCCAAAACTGTCAGATAAATTTGCTCTTCAGGGTCATTGTAGAGACTAAAAGCACTCAAAATCTTACTGCCTCTGGTGGTAATAATGTAGTGAAGCAGACCGTGTGTATTTAAAGGGAGTAAACTTAAATTAACAAATTAATTTCAGCCAACTATTTTTACATGGTTGAAGAATACTGGAGCATGACGACCCACAATGAACTTTGTTCTTGGGCCTGAGGAATACAGTGAAGGTCCTGAAATAGCTACAAAAATATATTCCAGACAATGCTATAAAAGAAAACTTCAAGCAGATATGATACAAATGGGTTTATATCTAAAGAGGACTTCAGTTTGTGTTTCAGATAATTTAATACACATTTAATTTCTACTCCCTTACTTGGGAACTCTCATTTTGCCTTAAATTGCATTTTATGAGGAGTATTTACTTTTTCTTGCCAGAATTTGAAATGATTATGATTTTTCCTTTGTTTCCTTCACAAGTGAGGACATCACTTGTTAATCCATGAGATTATAGGCTAACATGTTATTCTACAAGGATGAAGAGGCTATAAACTATTACCTCAATATTCCAAGAAGCTGTCTATAGAGTAAAATATGAGTACTGTACCTTTTGTCATAGATTACAGCTCAATATTATCACGAGGATATTTTAAAGGCAATCCTTGCATGTGTGCTCTCTTTATTTTCTGGCTGACATGGATTACCTTTTCCATGTCTGTGCTCTGACTTGAATATTTATTAGGTATGACTCTTGAGTCCCTTTCAGAATCAGTTCTCCAGATCTGTAGAGCATCAGAGGCACATGCTGACATTCTGTAACTGCCCCCACAGATGTTCTGAATGGCTTACTTAAATTTCCAAGGGGCTAACAATGGTAAATTCAGAATCCTTGCTGTTGTTGCTGCTGTCATCGTCAGGGCTGGAACTGAGGTTACTGGAAGAAGCGGATATGGAGCCCATCAGGGGATCAGAAAAGACTAAAGAAGAATGGCATGAAGCCTCTCTCTCAGTGCTCACATCCTTGCAGGTTGGCACAGTTTGCACATGTTCAGGAACAACATTAATGTTTCCCTCATCTTCTTTGGAAACTAGAATATAGTCATCTGTGCGCCTGTTGTCTGAGTTTGGATCACCAGGAACCTGTGAAGTAGAAGAGCTTAGAATAAGTAATATAGTTGGAATAACCTCATTTCTTTCTACGGTGTCTAACACATTCATCATCACAGCAAGCACATACCTTTACAGGTGTGGCCGTCGCTGCCTCCACCACCAGGGCTCCCTTGTAAAAGTATACGCCAGTAAAGGTACATATAAAGGGGATCCTAGATGGGAGCTCTTTAAGCAGCGCCTTTCCTACAGATCATAAAGGATGAATGGGTTTACAGTGTTGAACAATTACACACTTCCATGTTTACTTTAAGGAAGGTGTTCCTTCCTTAAGGTAAACATATACAGGACTTCAGCTGTCTGAGGGCATTTGTAATCCTCTCACCAAAACTGTATTGCTGGCTTCCCAACACACAAGGATCTCTGTGTTTTTTTATTCACACAATGACACATGGTTTGTTTCTCTTCATGGAGATAATCTCTATGAAGGAAGTATATCAAATGTGAAGTGCTCTTGGTGACTCACAATGAGAAGGGGAAAAGCACATTAATAATGGTGGATGATAACTATAGCACGGCAAGGAAAATACTGAAATATAACTTCGCTGAACAGTTAGTTTCAAATATAAAATCTAAGCTTATGTGCCACTGTTTGCATAAACGAATTTCACATGTCTATTTTCCTACAGCATCCGTTGCAATAGCTGAGCTTTTTCTACTGCTGATATTTCCAGTGGTGAAATCTCCCTCCATTCCTTCTTCTGCCAGTTTTCAGTTTAGGAGAACTCATACTGACAAGAAGCATGTTTTCACCCATCTGCCGCTGCTACTGAATAAACAGAATATGACAGAATTCTACTTCCAGTGGCTTTGAAAGTTAACAGTCTTACATTTAGTGCCATCTGGCTTCTTGGAACGTTTCTCCTGATGAATATCCCCTAGCAGGATGAAACTTATTTATATCACCTACAGGAAAGAAAGAAACATTCCCAAATAGCATGTTTTAAGCAGGAATCCAGTTTCCAAGGGGGTAATGTTTGAGCTTCTCCTTTATCATCCACAGAACTGTGAGGGTCCAGGTAAGGGAGCATATTTTCAAGAGTAGTAGTGGTCGTGGAACACTCATATAAGGAGTTTCTCCTACTCTTGGTTGAGTGCAAGGCAGATGGGCAATGATACCCATTTGGTTCAGTTGCGGCCTGTAATGTCAGAAGAGGTGCCCGAGGCGCTAATACACTGAAGACCTGCTGCCTCCTTGCTCAACACTTGCCTATCATGGCTAATACAAGCATCCAATGGAGTTACAGTAGATTGGGCTATTAACATCATCAATGCCTCACTGAGAAAGGGTTACCTTCTCCCATGTGTAAAGGAAACTATTATATGGCCCATCTTGAAATGGTCAAGTTTGGCAAAGGATAACCTAAATAACTTTAGGCCTGTTGCCAATATATCCTTCATCGGCAAGGTAATCGAGTGGGTGGTGGTGCAGCAGCTACCGGCATTCCTAGAGAATTGTCTTGATCCATTCCATTCCTGATTCAGGCCACAGCATGATACCAAGACAGCACTGCTCACACAGCACAATGACCTTTTAAGGGAGACCAACAAGGGAGGAGTCATCTTGGATCTCTCAGAGACTTTTGATACCATTGACCATGGTATCCTCCTGGATAGATTCTTGGATGTGGGGATTGGAGGCCTGGCGCTCTGCTGGCTCCTATCCTTCCTTGAGGGTTGTGTCCAGAGAGTGCAGCTTGGGGAAGAATTGTCGATTCCCTGGTACCTCAATTGTGGGGTGCCTCAGAAGCTGTCAATCCCCCCAATGCTTTTTAACATCTATGTAAATCCATTGGGGGAGGTCATCTGGAGATTTGGAGTGTATTGTCATCAGTATGCTCTTATTTACATTCTCTGCAGTAGATGCTGTCCAGATACTTGAGCGCTGTCTGGCCTTGGTTCCGGAACAGATTAGGGCTACCAGGCTAAAGCTGAGCCCAGATAAGATGTCAATCCTTCTCCTGGGGGATCCTTCTGATAGGTTAGGGGGCAGTCTCCCTAGATTGGAAGGAATAATCCTCTCACTTGGGGATCAACTTTGGAATCTGGGTGTGTTCCTGGATCCAGCTCTCTCATGGGATTCCCAGATTGCAGACGTGTCCAGGTTATCCTTTAATCAGTTAAGGCTTTTTGTTCAGCTCCAACGCTACCTAGATGAGGGGCCTTGAGGACGTTGTTACATGCACTAGTAGACAGCACCAAGATAGACTACTGTAATGATCTCTACGTGGGGCTTCCTTTGAGACTGACCTGGAGACTGCAGTAGGTTTGGAATTCAGCTGCCAGGCTGGTGACTCATATGAGTAAATGTGACCGCATAATCCCAGTCCTGGCTTGCCTGCAACGGTCGCCTGTGATATCCCAGATCCAGTTCAAGGTTTTGGCATTTACTCATAAAGTCCTCCATGGTTTGGGGCCCTGTTACGTGTCAGAGTACCTCTCACCAAGAACATTGACACATGTCACCTGATCCTCTCAGGCCATGTTCAGCTGGGTTGCTACAAGGAAGAGGGCCAAAAACAAACAAACAAACAAAAAATCCAAGAAAAATTGGACCTATTTGGTTGTGACACCTGTGCTTTTGAATGGGTTCCTGGCCAAGCTGCAACTGGCCACCTTCCTGCTGACCTTTAAGAGGTTGCTCAAAATGATGCTCTTTACAGAGGCTTTGAATGGCATCCTCAGATGATCCCGTCTACTTGTCCTGCCTATCCAATTATTGGTTGATATTGGTTTCTTCGCCCTATGATGCTTGATTTGATTCCTGTATTTTTTTATTATCATTCTTATTGTTTAATTTATTGTTATACTTTTGCTTTGACCTTATTTGATTTGCACTACTTGGGCATTATAAAAGTCTATGACACACACTATTCTGGGTGATTAACAACCAGATATATTGTATATATAAAGGGTGAAAAGTAGTGGAGTAGTCAAGAAGGAAAGGTGCTCCTTGGATCAGATATGAGAGAGGTAAAACAGTACAATTTCAATGTGTCTTCTGATTTTTCTGCCTTCATTCATTGCAGTACCACTTCTTTGGTTACCTTCTCAGTACAAGAAATTCCAAGCATCCTCAGATAAATCCTTATTTCAAATGCTTCCATGTTTTCTATAGTGATGTGCGTTAAAGTCCACAACTCTATGCCATACAGTAAAAGTGAAGATGCACAGCATTGTACTGTGGATATGATCAATTTAAAGGGTGGCTTTTTTCTTTTTTTTCTTTGTTTTGTTTCCTTTTGTTTGCATATGACTTCCCTTATCTAAAGAATGCTGCCGCAGGCTATCTCTGTTCTGAGGGCTTGGAGACAATGGTTCATTTGAAGCGGGCTGATGTGAGCTAAATAAGATCATTCCAGGTCAGGTAAAGATCCAGTATGCCATGTGGTGCAATCTTTGCAACCATAGAGCATTTGCACCTCAAGTAACCCTATGGGCCTACCTCATTTAAGGGTGTGAGGGGGGGAAAAGAAGCCACTACCAGCCTTCATTCTTTGCCCTTGAGGTTTCTGAAGGTGAGGAATCAAGACTAATCCTGAGCTGTTGCCAGCAGACCTGTCAGGTGAGCAGAGTGACCTCTGACCCTGATGGTTCTCAGGAGCTGAGATGGTTGCACAGCCAGCACTGAAAACTGCTTAAGAACACCAACAAGATATCTCTCACTGAGCATTTTATTAACATTTTGAAGAACAAACAGCACCCTTTAAGAAAAGCTATAAAGAAAAGAAGCAAATACAAAACATCTCCCTTCTTGTCCCCTCCTATCCCTTCTTTCTTCTGGGAGAAGGCTTTGAGTTTTTAATCCCCTCCCCACCAAAGGTACAGTTCATCAGTGCTGCCCTAATTAGTTTTTTAAAAATTCTTCGCTTCTTCCTTCTGTTCCACAAATGGGCAGTTGATGCAAGGAAGTTTTTAATTTCTCAATATCATGATGCAGTTAAGCTATTTGTTTAAGCCAATAATGATATAGGGAAACTAAAACCAGCTGAAAAATTAAAAGCAGGAAGCTATAATCTATCCCAGCAATCGCTTATCCTGGAAATTACCCTATATGGAGCGATACCACCTGCACCTAAAAAAGAGTAGCCTCTGACAGGGACTCAGAAAGGAGTGGATAGGAACACCCTGAGAGTAGGTTGATTTGCTCTAGCAAATATGTTGTCTGGCAAACCACCATTTCCTTGCAGTTGACCAAACAGTGGGCTAAATGCTCATGTACTCACCTTCTAACTTTGTGTGGTTGTGATGCACCATTCATTCAATCAAATTACAAGATACTTATTTTTGTCCACAAGCTCCATATATCCATACTGGATTTTTAGCTGCAGAGTTATTTCTGTTGCATGCTCTTCCTTTCATTATGTTTGAAGGCTTAGCTTGCAGAGATACAGGACTTAAACACGCCCAGGTGTGACCTATTGGTATGAACTCATAGTAAAGAACTTGCAGCTGGAATCCTCTTGATCCCCGTGCCTGGTAAAGTGGGTGTCTGTCTTTCATCCCACCTCCCACACTCATGCTTGGGTCCTGGTGTGTGCTTGCACTCACAATCCACAGTACATTCTTAGTGATGAAGACATACATTTCTCTATAATGTGGGTGAGAAGTGGCACTGGAGCCTCTATCCAATCAGCTACAAATCTTGCAAAAGAGAAAGAATCATCACCCACAAACCCTATGCAAATGTTTATTACATTTCACTTCTATATCATTACTGTTCCCATTATATTGGGCCTCTTGTATATGAGCATAACATGCCTTCGATTTTGTTGTGCTTTGGCTTAACTTTTTTAGTGAAGCCAATTCTCATCAAACCTCTAAGAGCTTCTCATAGTCAAACCCACCTATTTTATCAGCGAACACTTTAGCACTAATGATCTCAGCCTCTATATAGTTCTGCACAACTACTATGATGGATGAGACAGATTTGTTGTCTCTAACAAATGCAAAATGAATGCTTTCATCTGCTTCACTGAGTTAAGTTTTTTTTTTTGCTCTGTGATAATAATTTGTGTTCCATAGGCATTAATTTTTTACAGTGTAATAAGCATATTAATAGCTGATGGGACCCTTTGGCTTTTCTCTATCAAAATTAGATACACTAAAAACAAAACCATGATCGTGCATAATAAAAGTACCAAGCTGCCATCCTTAAATTTATATTTTACTCTTGTTTTCAGCCAATTAAAACTACAGTTATTACTAAGAAGCTAGTGTACTTTAATTTTATGTTTTTGTTATATGCCATCAAGCTGCTTCTGACTTGGCAACTCTATGAATTAGTACCCCACTCCCCACGAACGTCCTGTCATCAATAGGGATGGCAATTCCCCATTCTAGAAGTTCTACGTGACTTACGTACACCTTACAGAGACTTATATGTGGCTCATCTGGTACAAAAACGCTTGAACCCACTTATCTTGAAAACTGTATTAGGGTTGCTATAAGTCGGTTACAACTTGACAACACATAACAAGTCAGGTAGAATTTCCAGAATGAGGATTATAGGCTTTGTAGTCCAAGAAATAAAAAAAAATCCATCCCTAATCATCCATAGCAATGCTCAGCTCTCGGAGACTGAAGGCTATGACTTCCTTTGAATCAATTCATCTTTTACTTGGTCTTACTTTTTCCTGTTGTCTTCAACTTTTCTCAGCATTATTGTCTTTTCCAGTGGCTCTTATCTTCTTATGATGTTTCCAAAATATAAAAGCCTCAATTTCTCCTTTTTGCTAATTCAGAAAATTCATATTTTATTTGATATAGCATGCTGCTGTTTGTCTTTCAGATGCTCCATGGTATCCATAAAGTTGTCCTTCAGCAGGTATTTCAAATTTATCAATGTCTTTCCTATCAATTTTTTTCACTGAGCAGCTTTCACATATATACATAGAAACCAGGAATACTGTAGCACTCTTGATACTCACTTTCATCTAAATATTTGTTGGAATATTCCTGTTAGGATTTTGATAGATCCTAACTATAATTTTCTATAGCTTGGAATAATTCTATTTTTATCCCATATACATCTGGTGATTTACTTCTTCCATGAGCTTTGAAAGTAGCTTTCACCTTTTTAAAATTGCAGGCTCTTCACCACAGAAGTGTTCTTTGAAGGAACTCTCTTATCCTTGTATCTCTTCTGCATAGTTCTTTAGTACTGTATATTGGTTCAATTTCATCTGTACTTACGCTAGTCAAATAATACGTTCCCGTGTTGATCTTTCAGGATCCCCAATCTAGGTTTAAAATCTTTTGATTTTTTGGATTTTATGGAAAAGATCTCTTGTTTTTCCTCTGTTGTTCTCTATATATTTCAATTAATGTCTCTATATGTCAGTAGCTGAAAGGGCTGCATTTTGGATTCTGACCTCATTTCCTTTGCTTCTCATTTGTCCATCACAATTTTAAGTTTTCTTCAGTCATCCACTGAGGTTTTTCTTTCTTTTTGTCCCCCCCCCCATTTTTTTAAATGGGAATGCCTCCTGGTGGCTTTTCTGTCAGCTTTCCTGACACACTGAAACCTCCCCTCCACAATTAGGCGTGCATCCAGGAGGGAGGTATCTTATTATAACTGGCCAAATAGGCATATCAAAGGGTACAATTCTTGCATTAATAATCTACTGGAAAAAATGGGAGCCTCTGGCCTTTAAAATAAGCTTGCCATCTATTTATAAAATAAGCAGACACTACATCATTAAGGAGGTCATCCAAATTAAAGAGAAAAATATATATCTAATGCATATTTTTTTCAGATCCAAGCAAATATTTTAATGTAGCAAAATCTGAAAAGTCTAGAGAAGTACATTAACTAGGACATCTGCTTAATTAGATGTCAGGTTACTGCCTGTCTCTCAGACCCATACATAGTTTCAACAACATTCCAGGGCTAAAGGGTCCCAGAGGAAAACTGTTGGATATGAGACCAAACTGTAGTCCTTGCTCATGAAATAACAACTTATATAAAGAAAACTAAAGCGGACTGGAAGGGTAGCATCAGTAAAACACTAGTGCTGCAGTAGGAAGTATTGGCCAATCCTATATGTTTATTTTCTTGGTCATGTTTATTGTCAAATCAAATAGGGAAGAAATATTTGAGGTGTTCCCTGTGTTAACTTTTTAATTAAAATACAATTCTGAAGAGAAACAGAGAAACAAATAAAATCCAGGGCTTCCCACTGTATGGAGATAGGAATCTCCCAGTATTTAAGAGCATTACTTCACAGAAATTTTTTTAAAGTGAAAACAGTGTCTCCTAATAATAGCAGCACAATGTCAATATCAAACATCATAACATCTATGAGCTTCTTTATCACTGGCAAAATCTATTGGGAACTTTTATTGTATAAGCCTTGAAATGAATACAAATTTTTCATGAACTCAGCTTTGACAGAGAATTCTCAAAAAAAACTATTAAAAAAAGAACCTAATGCAACCACTGGTCATAATGAAGGCAGGCATAGTTATTTACTTTGTCTGGAATCCTAATGGTGTTTGTATAATTGGCTCTGCTTAACTGTGTCTATTTGATAAAGTGTGAGGGTATATCTTACGTGCACAGTCAGACATGTAACCAGGCACATGACTGAAGTGCATACCTGCACCTTATCAATCAGCCGTGGCTAGTTATGGAAATAGTACATAAACACCTATAGGATCCTGGACATTATCTTTTACAAAAAGGAAGGTCACTGTACTGATTCGTTGAGAAAGCTGAAAAGGAGGGGTAGTACAAAAAGGCGGCAATGGATGTATTAGAGGACTGAAGCTGATCAACTGCTGTTGCACAATCATGCTCTAGAAGACAGAGATAATGAGAAGAGTCCAGCAATAAGGGTGGGGGGAGCTTTGTTTCCATTGCAGATTTATCTCTCGTGTTATATGTCAGACAATTTGTTTTTAAACTTAGACATGGAAATTTGGAAGCAACATAGCCACCTTATTTGATGATTCTTTTTTGAAAGCCAATAGGTTATTCTGCAATTAGAATAAGATGGTTGGGTCAAAGACAAGTGTGTAAGAAATGGCTTAATGGAGGCTGAGAAACTTTAACAGAGAAATTAAAATTCTAAAGAAGATTGGACAAAGGGAAGTGCTTTGTTTTAGTGCAAGCTCTTTAAAGCAAAGACACTGATCGCTGTTGCTGTTAAAATAACCATTGTGTAGTTCATTGCCAAGTTATTTGGGAGGAGGTTCCACTGAACTCAGTGGGACATGCTTACCAGTAAATATGCACAGGACTGCTCAAGTCTGGCCTTTACCTGTTTCCTTGGAGGGATGCATTGTTTTGCGACTGAAGGATCTTTCAGGGTTTCACTTGGCTCCTTGTTCTGATTGTAGGAACAGTAGTGATCATCTTCGATTGTGATTTGTTCATTTTCCTCTGCCTCCAACTGACTCTGATTAAAACGTAGGGAACCTTTCAGAATATCCTTGATCTGTTTATAAAGAGGTGGCGGGGAGGGGAGAAGAGGAGAAGCATTCTTTAGGCACACTCTGACATCTTTCACTAATTCTCTGGTTACTTGACTTGCTCATGAAATTTACAGAAAGGACAACTGTGCTTCTGAATAAAACTATTAGGGCATGACTGAATCTCTTAGCAAGAGTGAAAAAGGTATAGGGAGTGTATTTAAAAGAAAACATTTCCCTGCTCCTACTTTCAATACATGTTACAATGTATTGATCTCAGCATTTTCCTGGTCTGGTCCAGCTTACCATTCCACAAAGAACTCAATAAATGTAAGAGAACAGACACAGGTCACAACTGATATACTAACTGGAAACATACACAGTATGTGTTCTTCTAACTACATCAGAATATTAGGAAGACACAGTATGAATCACTAAATGCCCCACTTCATCTCTCATTGGTAGTTGGGTGCTCTAGGAGAAGAGCTTGTTGCTGGGGCAGTGGGGAAAGGGACCCTGTTGCTCAAATCACCACAGGGCTCCAGGCTATGCAAAGCTCAAGGGACAACAGCAAGTCACGGCTCCTGTGAGATCTCATGAGATGAGATTCCAAGTGAGGCTGTGCAAGCCCAAAGTATCCCTAGACTGGCAGAAACCAGGCCCATGATTTGTTCACTTCCCCTGTTGCGATGTCATGAACTCATGTTATTTTCTTTCACAGGAGCCAGGATGGATTTTTTACATGACAACCTGATTGTGTCTGTGTTACTGGGCCTTCTCTCGAGTGCCACAGGATACAATTTAATTTTCCCCCCTCATGGTTGGCGATATAGATGGAAGTTCTGGGTTCATATGGGTGATTTGATTGTTGATAGTGTTATACATTATAATTCTGATGGTGTTAGTGTGGACTAACATCAAAAGTGTGGGAGTGCATATGAGAGAAAGCAGCATCTGGAGAGACAAGTGGTTGCCAAGGTTCTCACATGGTTCTCAAAAGAATTTTGCTGTCTCAGGTTGTAAGAACAACGAGAATGAACAGTGGCTGTTGGGAGCCCTTCAAGTATTCCAAAAGGCAACTAGTTGTTAAAATCTGAGTGTCATGGCCTGTTATAGGGAGGCCACTTTAGCTAGAATTGCAGGGTAGTTCTAACATGAGTAGATCCATGGAGGATGAAATTCCCTCTGCACTGTTTTTAGATTAATTAATTAAAATATTTATGTTTGTCTTATATCTGAAGATCTCAAAGTGAGGTATTATCAATGTAATAATCTAAAACCAACAATTTAAAACAATTCAACAAGATCAAGATAGAAATGCAATTCAACAGACCAAAAACGAAGGCATGGTCATTAATGTTAAATGTTCAGGTGAAGAGTTAAATTTTAACACATTGCCAAAATGAGGTCAATGATGTTGGTGGTCAGGCCACGACTACCACAAGAGACAAATCCTGATGCCGATCATCATTCCAGAAAAGGTAAGTTTGTTGACAATGACTGGAAACAATGGAAAAGTCAAGGGTTGAAGCAAAGCAAGTGCTCTTCCATCAAGCTCTAGCTCCTTCTGCTGAGCTGTGGACCCTCTTCAAATCACGTTACTCACCTAAACTATTTGAAATATCCAGTGATAAAGATGAGTCCAGGAAGTAGACTCTTAAGCTATACACCTGTTTCTATGGTGTCTGCACATCTATGCTTGTGTGGAACAAGTTGCTTATCCAATTCCAAAATTTATGAATTACCTACCATACAGAGCCTTGGTCTTTTCAGGATTTTGCTTAAATCTGATAGCCCTTTTAAAGACCATTACAGTGTCCAAATGCTGGTCCAGCATTTGTAATCGGTCATCCAGCTCTGATGACAATGAGAAACAATGGTCTTTTCAGGATTTTGTTTAAATCTGGTCCAGCATTTGTAATCTGTCATCCAGCTCTGATGACAATGAGAAACAGAGCTGAACATCATTAGCATACTGATGGCACTCAAATGCTAAACTCCTCATTACCTCATCCAGTAGTTTCATGTAAAATAGCATGGGAACAGAACACAGCCCTGTGGTATGTCATAATTATTAACCATGGGGATGGACAAAAATCATCTACCACTACTTTCAGTATCTAGATTGTGGGTAGGAGTGGAGCTTGAATAACTCTGTGTCTCTTAATTCCACCTGCAAAGGCAGTTTAGTCAGAAACCATGACTGAGGTGGTCAACGAACACAGAGAGTTCCAGGGGGATCAACGTAGTAGCTCTTCCCCTACTACCCCCCCCCCGGCACATCATGGAGGCCAAGTCTGGTTCCTATGTTATTTGGAAAAGGCTGGAGGTTTTCCTTGGTGCACATTCTTTTAATTCAGAACAGCAAGAAGGAACTGGACTTAAAACTGCATTATAACTACAACAGGTTCCTTTTTTTCTTTTGCCATCTAAATGTTCCAATGGTTTGAATCTGGCTAGGTCTAGCTTAGAGACATAACATATCTGAATTGAGCAGTTGTGATCCCAAATAATGCAATATTACAATAAAACTAGAATGTAATATATGAAATGTAATCTGTTCCATGTGAGTTAGTTATGTGCTCTGAAGTCAGAACCAATTTATAGTAACCCTAATAGAGTTTTCAAGATTAGTGAGATATTTAAGGAGTGGTCTATCACTCCTCCAGTGAGTTTCCATGATCCAGTAGGGATTTGAACCCTGGTCTCCAGAGTCCTAATCCATCACTCTATTCACTATTCCCAACCTTGGATCCACAGATGTTCTTAGACTACCAAAATCCTGGCCACAACAGCTAGTAGTGAAGACTTCTCGGAGTTTTAATCCAAGGAACACCTTGAAACCCAAGGCTGGAAACTATTGCACTACATCACACTGGTCACATGTTGATAGTACATAAAATATCTTAATTCTGTATATGACTATACCTGCTTCAATCCAGCTAAGGAAACCAGAATTTCATCTTCTTTCTCCAAGTGCTCCTGCAGGATCACTTCCTGAATATTTCCTGCAAAAAGAATTATTTTATAGGAAAGTATCAGGATAATAAGTCTTCACAATACTGTCAACATGCAGACAGTAGCAGGTTTCCCTTCTTTGGGGAGAAAGACTGGGAAGGTTAGATGTATTGGTCCAGCAAATTTGGATACTAGGTGAGAGAAGAAGCATATTTTGCTACCTTTGCTGAAAGGAGCTAAAAAATGAGGAGCCTGCTTAAAACCACTCCCCCATTAAAAGTTAAAGGAGCCATAGATAATGGCTTCCATTATCAAATTGGACCACATAAGGATGAAATATACGAGAAATCATGACTCTTTATCTGATATCAAAACATGTTTTGATCACAGTGGCAGTTCTCAGCAATTGTACCAATATGGTGGAACAACTTGCCCCATGAGATATGGGAGGCCCCCCACTGGATGTAATTTTGCTTCTTGGTGCATCCATGTGTATTAGAACAAACTTTGCCTGCTAAGTGTTTATTTGTTTGCTTGCTTGTTCAAAAGTGGTTTACTTTATGTCTACTATCTCTATGTATTGTTATTTTTTACTGTATTACTAACGTACAAGTACTAACTGCACTATGAATGTACAAGAGCTAAAAGGGTGGGTTATAACTTTCCAATTCAACAAACCTCGTTGCTAACATTAGCTGGCATGCTGCATACACTAAACTGAGAATCAAGTCTTTGCCCTGGGCAGGGATGGGAATTATACAGCTTATACGCAAAGTACCACAATGCAGTTCTCTGGGGTATTCCCACACTTCCTGCAATTGCTAAAAACAACAACAACAACAGCAACAACAACAGCAGCAACAACAACAACTGGACAATGAATAATTGCACCCCAGAGACTTTAGCCTAACTGATTAAAGTATCTTCTCCCCAAAATCTTTATTTAGAACCAGAAAGCACCCTACCTCTGGTATAAATAAAAGTGTGGATGCAGGCTGGAGCGATACATGTTTTGTACGTAAAACAAGGCAAGTGTTCTCTGGACCTTCTAAGACAATTCACTCCTGGGATACAGACTCAATAAGGCTTCTCCATTCTGGTGCTCTCTATTTGTTTTTAAGTACAACTCTCAACAGCTCAAGCCTGTGTGGCCAAAAGTTAGAAATTAGGGGAGCTGCAGTTGGAAGCACCTTGGAGGCATTAGAATAGCAAAATCTGCCTGGCCCTTTCATTGGGGATTTTCAAAAGACATCTTAAAACATGGCTATAGACAGAACTTCCCAGACTTTACATAGACAGAATGCAATGGTAAACTCGGCATTTAAGTCACCAATTCCACTTTTTTGCTTTTATGAATTGTTTTATGTTGCTGTTGTTTTTAGTTTAATTGATTATATATTTAATTTTGAGTACTTGTTATGTTTATGTAATGATGATTTAATGATTGTACCTTTTGTTGTGAACTGCCCAGAGTGGCCTGGTTAGCTAGATGGATAGTATATAAGTCAAACAAATAAATGAATAAATGGGGAAGGCTGAGATGGATATTGAAATAGTATATACTCAAGTATAAGCCTAATTTTTCAGCACTTTTTTTTGCTGAAAAAGCACCCCCTTGGCTTATACTCGACGCAGTGTCAAAATTACATGTTCTCCCCTGCAGTGTGGGTGTTCTCTGGACTCCCCTGCTCATCTACAGGCGCTTGCAGCCTCTGTGGGTGGCTTGATGACCCAGGTTAAATACACTGCATTTCTGCTTCCAGGACACTCCCATTCTCCTCCTTCTGCATATTCTATGTACCCACCTTCCTCCTCCCACCTTCCTCCTCCATCCTCCGTCTCCCTCCATCTTGTTATGCAGCAGTATAGCAGTAGATAAGCACAGCATCCGGTATGAGTCCTCCCTCCGCAAGCACTGAAGTGTGTCTTGCAGCTCAGAAGGGCAGTATCTTTAAAAACATTTAACCTACTTCAAAAACATTTAACCTACTGCACAGGGAAGCCATTGAAATCCACAAGCACCAGCAAATCTTCAACAAAAAAGAGGAAAGTGTGAAGCTCAACACAACTCGGCTCCCAGCTCTCAAAAATACAGCATGCAAACGGTCAACGAACTCTACCCAGCCACAAGGACAGGGGGGCACTACACACAAAAGACCAGCTAATGATCCCCATCAACCACAGTGCCAGATAATCTCTTCTCCTTAGCACAATACACCCACAACAAGACACACTAATTACTCATCTAGAGAAAAAAACAAAAGCATATCTCACAGCCATAAATACTGCACTCCCTAACAGAGTGCTCTCCTCTGAAGATGCCGGCCACAGAGACTGGCGAAACGTTAGGAAGAACAACTTTCAGAACACAGCCAAAGAGCCCAAAAAAAAACCCCACAGCAACTATCAACACAAGGACAATGTTGAAAAGTTGCCACCTGCATTAGTGCACCAACAAAATGGTCAGATCTTCAGAAAATGTAGAATAAATTACAGATTATTGTTATGTCAGAACACAACCCTCAATTACATAGTGCATGCTTTAATGTCTGGATCTAGAAGGGATGCCTTTCTCTTTGAATGATGTACTGGCCTGCCATAGTACATAGCCCTAAGTTTTTGTCCCCCCCCCACTACCAAAGAAGATGATTCCTATGTTTTCATTCAAGCATCTGGTAATATTGTAGATTATGGGTATGTGCAATTTATTATGTTGCAATGAAACATTCTAACCATCTGAGTTAACAAAGTAAATTAAACATATGAGTGAATGGTGAGAACCATGTTAGATCAATTACGTCACATAAGTATAAAAAAAGTCTTGAACACCTGGAATAACAGCAGATGGGATATTTAAATTTGGCAGTGCAGGCGAGAATTTTATTGTTTTTCTTAGGTTCTGAGGCTGTATTTGTGTTGATAACCCTGCACTGCATATATGACAAAATGCCCATCTGGTAATATTTTTACTTTGAAGTTGCATTCCTACTTGAAGTTGCTGTTATCGACTTGTAATACGTGAACTATCTCTTAAAAATAATAAAACTTTCATGAGCTGCATTAAAACAGAGAAAAGCCTCAGAACATCTTTTCTGGAACAATGAACACTGATATCATACAAGTGAATTATGAGGCATATAAATTATTTGTAAGGCAAACAAAATCTGTTCCTATGTCATAAATGGCTTTCTGGAGTTATAACATTGTTCAAAAGCAGATGAAAACCATGATTCTACATCAGCAAATCTGCAATTAATATACATACTTGAGAATTTGTCTACTCTGACAATAGATGGCTTAGTTTCTAAATAAATCCTAGCAAATAGTGATATATTACTGTAATTTTTCTTATGTAGGCTAGGATTTAATCACAGACAGTAGCTGTAAAGATGAATGACATCAACAATTCATAAGTGTTTCAAGGGAGAGGTGGTTGAAATTTGCAACCCATGCTGTTTGACAAAGAGTAATGATACTTGCTTCTGTTAAAACCTGAGGTTTAAGTTTCAGAGAACACAGGATTGTATTAATTTCCAGGAGGGAAGAGTTACCTATTTTTATACATTATAGCAAAAACAATGAAGAATCTTGTGGTACCTTAACCAGTTTTATTACAGCATAATAAATTTGTCTTTTCAGAGGACACAGCAGATTTATATTGGTCTATTATGTAATGTAGGAAATAAGCAAGCCACTCAAGAAAAGAAATGCTGTTCAGGAGCAGAACATCTTGTTTGACACATCAACTATGGCAGAAAGATATAATGGACTCAAAATATAAAATGCACTCAAGAGCCAATGCAAATGTGCAGGTAATATGCATTGTCTGTACAATGTGTGACTTTAAGATGGATTGTTATGCATTACTGCTCTTACTGGGTCTTGTGTTTACCATCTCTCAGAGAGGAATTTGATAGTTCCTTTTTAATAATTGTATATTGCTGTTTTAGCTTTAATATTGTATTTTAGTGAGGTAAGCTGCCTCTTTATACTAATTTTTCCAAGCTTTATACAGTATACTGTACTATCTTTTAGTGATGCAAACCACCATAGTATACTCACTGTTTTCAACTGTACTATCTTTTAGCCATGTAAACCACCATAGTATACTCACTGTTTTCAACTTTAAATATTGTCTTTCAAGGATGTAAGCTGCCTCATGTCCTTTTTAAGGAAGAAGGCAAGGTAAAATATTTTAAATAAATTTAAAAAAGGACATACAGTAAAGCTAATAAACTGTTGATACTAGGAAAATCTGTTCTCACCAACTGATTCTTCTAACTAGCTAGAGAGAGCTGATTGCCCCAAATATTCAAACAATCACCTCATTTAAATGAAAATCTAGATATCACATGCTTACCAAATTAAATATGCCTTCTACACAATTGTTACCTTATAACCAAATATATCTTGAATATGTCCAGGATCTTTAGTCACTCATTTTTTTCTTTTAGGAATAAACACAGTGGGAACATTCAGAGGTCACAATCAACCAAAAGTCTGAGAACAACTGAATATCCCATTCCTCCACTCTATCTGGTCACTATAAATGCAGGCGGGTCAGCCTTAAACAAACCACAGACTGTCCTTCCATGAGTTCTTTATTTTTACTTTTAGCCCCAACAGTCCAGCCTATCTGCCACCTGCCAAGGCAGAGATGTAAAATGGAAACAAGCCATGGTTAAGGTCTCTGACATGATGGGGGAGACAGAAGCCACAATACTTGCTTTGAATGGTTGTTACCAAACTGGCCAGGTTTGCAAGAACACCCCCCGCAGGGTCTCATGTTTGCCTAGACATGTATGTGCATGACACACATTTTTAACTAGAAAACTTGCCAAGGACAAGTATAACTGCTTATAACTTTTTTGAACTGTTACCATCTGGCAGAAGATATAGAACAATTAAGACTCGGACCACACGTTTTCTCAATAGTTTTTATCCCAGAGCTATAATTGCAATTAATAATGAGCTTAAAGACCACCAGTAGTGAATAATTAGTTGGACTGTGTTACTTGGCCTGCAGTGT